CTGACATGTCCGAATCCAAGTATGGACGTAGACGTGCAGCTCCTGGGTGTGACAGCAGTTCGTTCATGGTTATCTGCTGATGTGCTGGCGCACTCAGGAGTCGGATTGCTTCTGAGACCTGCTCTTGGAGCATGTCCTTATAATCTTCTTCGGCTTCTTCGGAGTCGGAATACGCGGGATGGCCCCGCATTTCGTCATCGGCGTCTCCCGCCTCCGAACCAGCCCACGAAGGATTTGGCAGCAACGGCATGCCAATCACTTGCGGGGCCAGCACGGCGGTGAGTTCTTCCTCTGTTGCCGGGACGGTCTCGGCTTCGGAGACCTCGTCGCCGGCGGGTGGCCCCGCTGGAAGACCGAACCAAGCATTGTACGCGACCTCGTCGACCTCGTCCCAGCCGTGGAACTCGTCGAAGAGGGTCACTGCGTAGTCTTCCAGGGCTACAGTTGCTTCAGCGTAGCGGGCCATCACGTAATACGTGGAGGAGCCCGCGGCGGGAGCCGCTTCTGGATTGACGTAGAACTCGTAGTCAATGTAATCTATGTCATCCATAAAAGAATTTTGAGCCAAATGTACGGATCCCTTTCCTTTCCCCTTCGGGCATTGATCGCGCAAATGCTCTGTGCTACCGCATGTATGACACTTCATAGTATTGCCAGAAGCGTCCCTAGGGTTGCCCCTCCGCCCTTTTCCCTTACCGGAGGTCCGCCTGTGACCCCGACCTTTGCCTCCGATAAGAACTTCTTCAAAAGCCATATCAGTTAAGGACGTGAGGAAAGCAGTAATACCCCTACCATGCATACGGCGTCTGCGACCCCCTTTGCCACGACCCTTTCCAAATCGTTTGAAATGTCGGCGTACTGCACGTCTCACCTTTCTGACTGGTTTCTTCATAAAGCGCCTCCAACGGCGTTTTGATTTGCGATAAGCCATAAAGGCGGCTTCCGCTCTTTGTTGTTCAGAGAGGTGAGTGTCATCCGCTGGGTAGTCATTACCAGCAGAGACTATGCCATTGTGCTCATCGTCAGATGAGGTATCCGTGTCAGTGCCAGATTCAAACGGTGAGGGTGGCTGAGACCCTTGAGCGGATGACTCCGCTTGGCCCCAGAGGGTTGTGCCCGAGGGCGGGCTTGCAGTGTAGGCGGCGCCTGGCGAGTAGTTCGACCAGGCGTTCGCCTCAGCTGCCTCTGCCGATGCCTGGCCAGTCTGCCCTAAAAGGGCAGTGGCCTCGTTGGGCATATCGGCTGGGTCAGCCCAGGGATTTGGCTCGCCAGGACCAGCGGGTGACCCCGCAGTCGTGGCGTAGACACCTGCATGTGAGTGGTGCCCTGTGAAGATACCCGCTATGTTGCCAGGAGAGCGCTCGGCAACATGTCCGTAGTTCCTCATCCTGGTCAGCAGCCTGTCATAGTCTGCTTGTGTTCGGGGCATCTGATGATTGAAGGGCTCAAGCAGGTGTTGGGCTCGTGACGCGCCAACGCCTAACGCTCTGAAGAGAATCAGCGTTAGGATCTGAAAGTTGGGGATGACAAAGCCAACAGAGTTAGCCTCGTCACGGGCCATCTCGAATCGAGCTAATACTGAGTCGATTCGCTCGCCCCTTTCGACGCGGAAGTCGATAAGGGCAGTGCCAGAGTTGAGCTGGCGCTCATCTTCCAGATTTTCAAATTTGGTGCTCAGTAAGTACAGTATATATGTTACTGCATCCGTTGGCTGTCCATTGACAGTTACACCATAATTGATGATCTGGGAGGGGACCTGCATGGCGATACGACGAGCCAGACCTTGAAGGCCTCGTTGTAGTGCTGCAGCTTGTTGTGGTGGTGTCATATTGCCACTCGTTACGTTTAACCATGCATGTACTTCGCGAACGTATTCGCGAAAAGGCGTAGTACCGGCAGGGTCCCATGAAGGGCCAGTAGTACGCGTGTCGTCCATCCCCTGCCGCATGTATCCCACAGCACATCCCATTATTACCCACAGAATGCCGAATATAGTTATCTTGATCCAATGCATGTGCATTTCGGCTTCGGTGATTGGTTTAGGCTGTGGTTTGTCAGGCTCTGGCGTAGTAGCCGTGAGGCGCCTGACTGGCACGGGATGCAGGTGGCCCCGCTGCGGGTAGCCCCGCAGGGTGACCACGTTCTCGATCGAGTTGCCGATTGGCATCTGGTGGAAGTCGGGAGTGAAGTAGCGCAGTGAAGTAGGAGAGAGCGTCTCGAGTTCGCGGGTTGCCCCGCTAGCTCGATCGCGGACTGGCTCCGCTCCTCGCAGAGCCGGCGCAACATGGTATTCCACCGTAGTAGTAGTCCACCAAGTTGTGCCGTGGATTACAGGAATCAGAGCGAGAGCCAGCCACACGAGAGTGTAGCCAGCTCCGCTACCAAGTCGAAAACAAGCTGGTAAGCTTAGGTATGTGTTACGCTTTAAGCGTTGCCATATCCCAGGCTTTGGCTCATATCGCATGAGCAAGAGTGCAAGACGAAGCATGGGATCTGGAGTAAAGGATAGGATGGGCATCGTCAATGGAAAAGGTATTTTCCGATCTCTGATGCAAGTCGTGCGCCTCAGTGAGGCACAGTCATATATTTGGCCGGGCCCGGCTTGAGCCAGGCACGGCAGCGGTACATGCTCGATTTATACCTCGCCTTTAACCTTCTCCGTTTAAAGTCCCTGGACGAGAAGTACCCCAAGACGGTCCCGGCAGACTCCCGGCAGACTCGGGTCAGAGATGGTTTTCCTCCTGGGCGCTGCCCTCGAGGTCTCCAGAGAGCTCCGAGGAAGGGCCAAGAGGCATCCAAGAACCATTCAAGATGCTTCACGAGGGCTCCGAAATGCCACAAGATCGCTGCAAGACGCTCAAGATAGCACGCAGAAGTGCCAAGGGGCCTCCAAGAGCACTCCCACGAGGGCCCCAAGAGGCCAAATGCATTGTTTTTCCTTCGACTTTGGAGAGATGTTCGTGTTACCACCTTTTTCGGCTTCCCGACGCACCAAGACGGCCCAAGAGGCCTCCAAGATCGCTCAAAGAGGGCCCACGAACTCCCAAGAGAGCCCCAAGACGGCCCACGAGGGCGCCAAGAGGCCTCGAAGACAGCCCTAGAGGGCCCCAAGAATGCCCCAAGAACGGCCCCAGAGGAGGACCACGAAACAACATTTCGAGCGCTCGGCCCTAAAAAGCCTCCAGGAAGGCCCAAGACCCCCAAGAGCACTCAGGAGGCCCCTGAGATGCCCCCAAGGAAACCCTGGACGCCCCCCAAACGCCCCCCCCGAGCACGCAAGCAAATGCCCGCGATGCTACATGATGGGCCGGCGGAATGAACGAAGCGATTCAATAAGAACCGACCCCATCCGACCAGCCGTTGCACAAATCAACATGCCTGGCCATGAACTGCGAGGACGTATCAAACGATGGCCCCATCATGAATCCTGATACTCAAATCCTGGTACTCGAATACCTCGGCGTCTCAAACAGGACCATTATTTCGAAAAGTGATGACCTTCCATCCTTCGAAATGCTGCAAGAAACCAAATGTGCACCGCAACAATACGGCGAGAGCCCCATTTTGAAAAGGAACGCACTCCTCCATCGCTGCAACGTTTGCAAAGCTTGAAAACGAATGTGCGCGGCGATAAGGCGAGAGTTCAATCTTGAAATCGAGCCGCCCTCCTCAATCCCTGTACTGCTGCAAGCATTAAAGAAACGAATGCTCGCGGTGCTAAAGCCTCCATGTTGAATACGGCCTGTGACCCATCCTTACAGCTATTTCAAACAGTTGAATCAACCGTATGCGGCGCTCGATGTTGAAAACGACCTGTGTTGCATCCATGTAGCTGCTGCAAGCTTCTAAGCGAATGCGCGCGGCCGCTAAGCCGAGATCTCCATCTCGCAAACGAACCCTCTCTAAACGTGTACTGACGCGATTGCCAAAATTCAAGATCAGAATTGCGGAAGGAGCCTCAGGGGAAGCCCGGCCCACTCCGCCAACACGCATGGGGATGCGACAGAGAGGAGTTATTCCCCAATCAGAGCTTGCCTCTGTAGGGGTCCTAGCGGATTAAAGGGTTAGGTGAGGTTGGTCGCCGATTTCGGTGGCCCGGCCCGGGTGCCCGGGTGCCCGGGTGCCCGGCGGTGCCTGGATGCCCGGGTGGCTGGTGAGGTGCGTGGCCGATTTCGGTGGCAGGGCCCGGGTGCCCGGGTGCCCGGGGGTGCCCGGGTGCCTGGGGGTGCCCAATAGCACAATAGCCCAATAGCCCAGAAGCCCTATAGCCCTATAGCCCTATAGCTCTATAGCTGTATAGCCCTATAGCCCAATAGCCCTACAGCCTTATATCCCTATAGCCCTAATAGCCTTATATCCCTATGGCCCTATAGCCCCCAGCCCAAGTAGCTCTATAGCCCCATAACCCTATAGCCCTATGGCCCTATAGGTCACAGTCCTATAGCCCTATAGCCCTATAGCTCGATAGCCCTATAGCCCTATAGCCCGATAGCCCGATAGCCCTATAGCCCGATAGCCCTATAGCCCTATAGCCCTAAAAAAGTCGGATGTTTTTGTTTATCCGATATCATTTCGAAATAATAGAAATGGAGCGGCAGGTTGGAGGGAGCAAGGGGGAGAGAGGGATCAGGAGAGGGATGAGGGCGCGGCAGGGAGGGGAGGGGAGGAGCGGCGGGGGCGGGAGGGAGGAGGGGGGGCGAGGGGGAGGAGGAGGTAGGATAGGAGGGTGCCGATCATGCACCTACAGCGATTCTGGCGCGATTCTGGCCTGGGCCCAAGATCGGTGTATACGCGTTCCTTGCCCAAACAGGAAGGCATGTACACCGCTCCCAGGCCCAGGGCGGGCCTGCCCGGGATTGCTGTAGGTGTACAAAAGGCGTCGCTCGATAATGAGGCAGGGAGTGAGGCAGGATGCAGGAAGGGGCAGGAGGCAGGGAGGGAGGAAACAGAGGGGGAGCAGAGGGAGGGGGGAAGCAACGGCAGAGCTCGGGCGGAGGTGCCCACGAAGTACTCGGCGAGACACTCGGGGTAGGCAAGTCCCTGGCTGGAGCATGCCCGGAGGGGTTCCCTGGCATGGTGTTCCTCCTCATACACCCTCGTGCCTAGTCGAGGAGGGAGGATCAGGAGGACCAGGAGGAGGAGGAAGCAAGAAGATGAGGGGGCAGAGGAGGAGGCCATCTCATTCCCCCCTAGCATGGTCGTGATCAGTGTCGCGGGCGTTGAGGCGCAATACTTGCGGATCATCGTGCCGCGAAAAGATTGCACCTGTCGTGCTGCTCCCCATCGCGATTCCGCTGCCATTCCCAAAGGGCGAAGACCCACGGCTACAACTGCTGGTGGTTGGCACGACATCAGGCCCGACATCAGGCACGCAACGCTGCTGGTTGGCGCGGTATCAGACCCGACAGTGCCCGTCGTGCCGATCCCAATCGCTCCTCCAGTCCCACTCGCGAGCCGTGGAGCTTCTGCTGCCCGCCGCACCTCTTTCATTCGCATGCTAATCGTGTTCATACTTCTGAAGGTTAGCGACGGTGGAAATAAGACTATGACACACACGTGATAATAAACAAGAATTCAAGAACATACTGCCCCGGTTGGAACATGATCGACCCACGAACCCGGAAAGAAATCTAGTAATGGCAACTTGTTCAAAGACATCAGATTTGGCGACGGGCCAGGTTGCAATGCTCATGCTCAATGTCTCGATCTTGATGTACCGTGCATAAAGCTGTGCTGTGCTGCACCGTGCTGAATTGCGATGTGCCATGCCGCGATTGTGCTGTACAGCGTTGTGGATCGCGTCCTCCTTTGCATCCGAGTCCTGACCGAACTGATCTGGATCTTAAGCTCAAGCTGCCTGAGCACATAGTCGCTGCCCCAGAGCTAATTGACTGGGGGACATGCCAGGAGGCCGCGCCGCGGAACGTCCCAAGGGACGCGTCAAGCGACGTGCCAAGGGACGTGCCACGGGGACGCACCGCGGGACGTGCCAAGGGGACGCGCTACGGAACGAACTGGAGACAATCATGTTAGATACCCCCCTGGGTGGCCTGGATACGTAAAAACACGTGGGTCAAGCTCGGGACAACCATGCTAGATCCGCCCCTGGGTGGCCTGGACATGCAAAAACATAGGGCTCCAGCTCGGGACCACCATGTTGGATACCCCCTGTGGCCTGCACACGTAACAAAAACACGTGGTCCAGCCCACCCAGGGGGGGGATATCTAACATGCGGTCGTCTGGAGCGCAGGAGGGCCCAAGAATGCCCAGAGGCGCATGGAGGCCAACAAGTCAACAAATCGATACCAAATACAAATAAACTCTCGACGTTCCGTTCCGAGTCCCAGGAAGGATCCAGGAGGCCCATGTTAGATACCCACCTGGGTGGCCTGCACATGTGAAAACACGTGGTTCCAGCGCGGGACCACCATGTTAGATACCCCCATGGGTGGCCTGGACAGGTGAAAACACGTGGTTCCAGCTCGGGACCACCATGTTAGATACCTCATGAGTGGCTTGGCCATGTAAAAGCACGTGGTTCCAATTCAGGACCACCATGTTGGATACCCCCCTGGGTGGCGTGGACACGTGAAAACACACGGTTCCAGCGCGGGGCCACCATATTAGATACACCCTCTGTGCGACTGGGCACGTGAAAACAAGCATTTCGCCTGAGACATCCTCTGAATTCTGGCCCCCCACGAGGCCCCCGCTCGAGACATCCCCCAACTCTGCAAACCCAGCGTTTCGCTCGAGACATCTGGGGCGCCAGCGACTGACAACCATGTTGGATACCCCCCTGGCCGACCTGGGCACGTGAAAACAAGGATTTCGCCTGAGACATCCTCTGAATTCTGGCCCCCCCACGAGGCCCCCGCTCGAGACATCCCCCAACTCTGCAAAACCAGCGTTTCGCTCGAGACATCCTCAACAAATTCTGACACAACAAACGTTTCGCTTGAGACATCCTCAAATTTTAATTCGCCGGCCCTACGCGACCTCGTTATTCATCGCAATAGAAATTCGCTGGCCCTACAGCCGTCAATTCCAAGGGTAAACGACTACAAGAGATTCCTGGGCTTAAGCCCTTTCCTGAAAAAAGGCCAGCGAACTGCCAGGACATGCAAATGGGAAAGCGTTAACCATGGGGGAACAAGCTGGCCCAAACGAACACCATATAGATTCTAACATACCTTTCCCTGACCCACAGAAGGCTGAACCTCAATAACAATTGTAAAACTTATCCGTCGCGCAAGCATTCCGTCATGCTGCGGTCGGTGCCTGCCGTACAACTCAGGGCCGCACGGCCAATCAGGTGCGAGGAACCGTGTGGACACATGCTGTGAGTGAGCTTGAAGCGCTGAGTCTAGAGCGCATGGGAAGCATGCGCGGTCAGGATGAAAAGCTCCCGGACGCCAAAATTGAAGCCGGAATTGAAGCCCATGACACATGGCTAAGGGCTACGATGGGTCGGTCGGGCAAAGATACCAGGGTTGATGCGGTTTGGCTGCGCACGATGCAATACACATAGCCACAACGAAACACAGCAAAGGGCAGACTTGCCCAAAATAGTTCCCGCTGGCAAGCGAGGGCTGACGAGGATACGGGTGAGGAGGTATGAGGAAAAGGCGGAACATGAAGATAGAACAACAGCCGGACGCCCCTGTCGGCGCCTCTGGCGCTGTCCGGGGGGTCTGGTGCCGCGAGGGGGCGGATGAGGAGCAGGAGCAGGCAAGGCGGAGAGGAGGCGACGGAGGAGCTGGACGAGAGCAGGGCAGGAACCGAAGAAAAGAGGCGGAGGCGGAAAGGGAGGAGAAGAGGGGAGGAGGCGGAGGAAGCGGAGGAGGAGGCGGAGAAGGAGGAGAGGATTCGGAGGGGATGAAAGGAAGCCGGCCCGTCGGGGACAGCGGGTTCGCCGACACGCCTGTGGCGCTGGCTCGCGCACGGCCATCCGTAGCTCGAACGACGCCTCGCCGGCCTGCCGCCAGAGGGCGCGCGGGTGGAACGAGAAGAAATATGCGCCGGCGTCCATCCACGCCGCGGGAGGGACCTGCCAACGACGCGACTCGGAGATGAGGGGGGAAGGAGCGAGGGAGGAAGAGATGAGGGAAGATGAGGGGGAGGAGGGGACGGATAATGTAGTAGAAACACTGCAGGAGGACCGTCTCACCCTTACACGAAAAAGCTGCATCTGAGCGTCGTTTCCACCACCGTCCGTACCCCAACGTGGCCACATTCCTCCTCCTCCTCCTCCTCTTCCTCCTCCTTCTCCTCCTCCTCGTCATCGTCCTCCTCCTCCTCCCCCTCCTTTTCCTGGGAGGAGGACGCGCACTTTACTTCCTCCAACGCGCTGATGTATGACGTCAACGGACCCAAGAGACCGAGAATGGGATACGCCCGAGCGCATCGACAGCCTCCTGCTGGAGCGTGGGCAGAGCAGGACCTCCGGGCAAGGTCGGGTGTCGCCGACCGCCGAACGGCAAGGACCAGACGAACGAAAGCGAAGGGTGGACAAACGCGCGACGATGAAGATTGGGCCGCTGCACGCTCCGAGGCGGCGTCCGTGACGCGCGGGGCCCTGCCTCCCGCCGAGATGAGGACGACGTCTTGGGGTCTCAATGTCTTGGCGCCCCAGGGTCTCTGGGTCCCAGGGTAATAGAACCTGAAGGCCTTGGGGCCTCGGAGCCTTCGGGTATTAGGGCCGTCGGGTCTGAGGGTCTCAGGGTATTGATGCCTTAGAGCCTGAGGGTCGTAGTGTGTTCGGATATTGGGGTCGGAGGGTCTCGCGGTGTTAGGGTATTTAGCGTTACGGTCTTAGAGTGTCTCAGCTCTTAAGGCACTCGGGTCTTAGGGTCTTAGGGTATAATGGTATCAGGGTGTGAGAGTAAGAAAGTACCCTGGTATCAGGGCTTCGAATAATTACGTTTTAGGGACTTAGGGTCTGAGGGCCCTCGGGTATTAGGGCATTGTGGTGTTAGGGCCTTGGGGCATTGAGGTATGAGTGCTCGGACCTCAGTGAAGCAGGGTCTTCAGGGATTAAGGTGCGAGGGGAATGAGGTCTTAGGTGTATGGGTGCACTCGGGTGTTCTAATATTGGTATGAGGGTGTCAGCGCATTAAGGTATTCGGGTGTTTGGCCGTCGGGGTGATAGCGACTTGGGGGTTCAGGGTCTCCGGGCCTCAAAGTTTGAAATAAAAGGGCCTTAGGGTTTAACGGCCTGTGGGGGGTTAGGTCTTCGGGTATTAAGGTAGTAGGGTCTTAGGGTGTGATGTCACCCTAGGTGGCCAAGGCACGTGAAAACACGTAGGTCCAGCTCGGGACCGCCATGCCCGGTACCACAAAGCGGGGCCTGGACACGTGTAAAACAAGGTGCCGCTAGGGGCAACCATGTTAGATGTACCTTTGGGTTGCCTGTACAGCCAAGAACACGCGGCCTCAGCTCGGGGACGCGAAAACACATTGTGGCCCGAAGGTGTTAGGGTCGGGTCTTAGGGTCTTAGGGCGTTCTGGTATTATGGTATGTGTTTATGACAATTCTGTATAAGCGAGTTACGGTATTAACGAATCCAGGTTTTATTTTGCATCAGGGTATTAGGGCAGTAGGGTCTTCGGGTACTACGGTATCCGAGTATTGGGGTATTGCGATTTTCTGGCGTTGCTGTGTTCAGATGTAAAGGACTTAGGGTATTGGGCTTCAGGGCCTAGGGCCTTCGTGCCCGAGGGTCTTCGTGCCTGGGTCATGGTGTATCATGGTCTTAGCGCGTTAGGGTATAGGGTCATGCGGCCTTCGAATCTTAGGGTATTGTGGTATGATGGTATTCGGATAGTAAGGTCTTAGTATAGTGTGGCATTTAGGTGTTCTTGCATTGAGATGCCAGAGAATTTTGGTATGAGGGCACGAAGGCCTTAGGTTCTTAGGGCGCGATAGGGCACGCGCGTCTTAGGGCCTTAGTGCGTGAAGATCTAAAGGTCGTAGGGACAAGGGGCTTGGGGCATTAGGGTCCTAAAGCATTCGGGCCTTAGGGAAATAGATCCGTATTTTCAACCTCAAAACCTGAGGGTCTGTCGTTCTTCCGGTGTCAAGGCTGGAACTAGGGTGCTCAAATGTTAAGGTTTGAATGTGTTCATTGTTGGGGTATTCGCGTATTTGGGCGTGTGTGTGTGAGGGTATAACTGCATTCTGATGCTAAGGCCTTTCAGCATTAGGGTCTGACGGTCTTAGGGTCTTAAGGCATTCGGGTCTTAGGGAGCTTGGGCATTAGAGCACTGGGGTATTGAAGTTTTTGGGTCGTGGGGTCTCGGGGTCTTGGGGTCTGGAACTCTTCGATCCTCAGGGTCTTCGCTTCCGAGGTTCCTAGGTTATGAAGGCCTTCGGGTTCTACGCTTCAGGGTGTTATGGTATTAGATTCGTAAGGTATTAGGGACTCCAGATCTTAGGGTCTTGAAGTGTTAAGGCCTCAGAGGGGGCTAAAGCCTTAGGGCTTTAAACTGTGAGGCCTGCGTGCGTCAGGGCTGTAGGACATTCGCACTTTAGGGTCTCAGGGCCGTCCGGTACTAGGATCTTCGGGTATTATGGCTTCAGGTAGTAAGGCATTTGGGTATCAATGTATGGGGATACTAGGGCACAAACGAGTGATAGGCGTTCGGGACTAAGGGCTTTAGGGCAATGAGGTGATAGGCGTTCGGGACTTCGGGCCTTCGGGTATTCGGATGATTGGACACTGGGGTCTCAGGGAATTCGCTTCTTAGAGTATTAGGCAATCAGGGTATGGTAGCAGCGCGCCATGGTATTAAGGCATTAGGGCGCTAGGGTCTTAGGGCCATAGGCTTTTAGGGCATCCAGGTATTCGGTGTTAAGGGGTCTTGTGGTCTTCGGGCATTCGGGTCTGAAACTATGGGAGGATCAGGGGTCTTATAGCATTATCGTGTTGATGTAATACGATATCCGGGTCTCAGGGTAGTCGGCTATTCGGGTCTAGGGTCTTCGTGCCCGAAGGTCTTGGGGACTCACGGTCTTCGAATTCTAAGGCATTCGAGCCTGAGGGCCTTGGGGCCGCAGAGCCTTAGGGCCCCAGCGCTTTAAAGCCTTAGGGCCGTAGGGTGTCCCTGTTAAGGTATTAAAGTGTTCGATGTGTTAGGGTCTTAGGTTTTAGGGCCTTACTGCCTTGGGGTGTTAAGATATTAAGCTATTCGGCCCCTACTAGAGCCTTAGGGTCGTTGGGTCTTAATGCATTAGGGCCTTAGGGCTTTGGGGTCTCCGGCCCTTCGGGTTTTGTTGATAGCCTTGGGGGGTTCGGCCCGTTGGGTCTTAGGGTATTGGGGCCTGGGGGCTTGAGGGTGCTAGACTCGTACGGCCGTAGGGCATTCGGATCGTAGGGTCTTAGGGTACTAGGGTATTCGGGCGTTATACTGTGTAGGGTATCAAGTGTTAGGGTACTACGGTATTAGTTGTTAGGGTATACTGTAAAGACTTGGTCTGATGGTCTAGGGGTCTCAAGCGTTAGGGTATGAGGGTCGTGGGGTCATATGGTAGGAAGGCCGTGTTGTATTTCAGGGTTCTCGCGTAGTGGTATATCAGGTGTTAGGGCCGTAGGTCGTAGATCTTGAAGTATTGAAGCCTTAGGGTGTTGGGGTCTCAGGGTCCCAGGGCATTGGGGCATTAGGATACTATGATATGATGTTATCAACCTACTACGGCATTGGGGTGTTAGGGCGTCGGGGTGTTAGGGTCTCTGGGTCTTAAGGAAATAGGGTATCAGAGTCTTAGGGCCTCTGGGTCTTAGGGACGCAAGGTGTTAGGGCCATAGGGTGTTAGGGCCCTGGGGGGTTCGGATCTGAATTTTTCAAGGTATGCGAGTGTCAGGCCCTCACTGCATTTTGGTTCTTGGGGGGTCAGGGCCCAAAAGTCTTAGGGTATTGGTGTCCTAAGACATGAGGGTGTTAACGTGTTAGGGTATTGTGGCATTCGGGTGTTCGACTGTCCCGTCGTCAAGGTATTTGGGTATGCGGGTGTTCGGGTATTAATGTATCAGCGCCATAGGGTATTAGGGCGTTCGAATATGCTGGTGTTGAGGTGTTGCTAGCCTTGAGGTCTTAGCTAGCTTGGGCTTTAAAGCCATAGGGTGGTAGGGTATTATGGTATTGCTGTGCGTGTGCGTTTGCGTGTTAAGATAAAAGAATGTTGCAGCATTTGGGCGTTATGGAATCCAGCTACTTTGGCATAGTGGTATTAGGGCACCAATATATCAAGGCACTCGGGCGTTATAACCCTACGATTTTGCAGTATCCGCGCATCACGGTATTAGGGCTCCAGGGCGTCCGAATATTATGGTTTTCGGGTGTTGAGGTGTTCGCTCACAAGGGAATTAGAGGATTTGCGGTTAGGTTCTCAGGGCATTAAAAGAGTAGTGTAGTAGGGCGTTCGTGTGCACGTGCGTTAGAGTATTGAGGTGTTCGGGAATGAAAATATTAAGATATCAAACGGTATAAAAAGGGTAAGTTGGGGATTCTGGTGTTCGGCCATCAGGGTATTAGGGTCTTCGGTTGTTTGGGTCTCAGGGTAATAGAATTACATGGTGTTTCGGTTTTGGGGGTCGGTGATACGGTATGATGGTATTACGGCAATAATGTGTTAGGGTATTACGGTATCCGGGCATGAAGGCATTGGGGCGTTTGGGTGTTAGGGCTTCAGCATATTAGGGCTTTAGGGTGTTAGGGTCTTGGGGTTCGCTCTAGGGTGTTCGAGCCTTCGGGTTTGAGGGCCGTTGGGTGCTAAGGTCTTACGCGATTGAAGTATTAAGGTCTTCGCTTGTAAAGGGTCTTGGGGCTTCAAAGTATTAGGGCGTTGTGGTACTAGGGTCCTCGGGTATTATAAAGTTATGGTGTTGGTGACATCCTGGTGTTCGGGTATAGTGGTGTTAGCCCACCACTGCACTGGGGCCTTCGGGTGTAAAAGGGCTTGGGGCTATAGGGTGTTAG